ACAAGACGATCGGCGATCCAAAGATCACCTGACTGAAACGCAACATCGAATTGATCACACCGAATATCTTCAGATTGCAGATATGCTTGACCGGTGGTAGCTTCAAAATACACGCCGGGAACTCCTTGATACGCTACATGGAGAGTAGATCCATGCGTATTGCTGCAGCTTTGAAGAAACAAGGCTCAGATCGACGGAGCCGTTACTGTGACCGTTAACGACGGTGACTTCATCTGCTAGACCACCGATGATTGAGTTTGAACTTTCCGTTTCTAAGTTTGGCATTTTGGGTATATGAGAGAGTTGAATAAAAACAATTTGGGCTCTGTAGGTCTTTACAAAATTGGTAGACATGATTCTTTGTTATTGGGTTCTAATACTCTATGTGTTTATTTTTTCATTATGTGAACTAATGAAAGTTGCATACTTAAATTTTTTTTCATGGCAGTTCTAAACATATTATTTTTAATATTTGTGATTATATAACAATAATAGGTTAGTGTTAATTATGGATCATTAAGGTTTGAATAGTGATAAAATAATTAGAAAATACAAATAAAATAACAAGGCCGGTGCAAAACTATTAATTCAGACCTTAATTATCGGATCAGTTCAAGCTTTAACCCATGTCTTTTTCTGAAATTGCTAAAAATAAGTAATGTTCTCAAATAAATTCAAATATCAAATCTTCATAAATACATTAAATACGTAAGATTTAAAATTATGGAGCAATATTTTCTAATTAAATTCAAAAATTTCTAATTCAAAAATTTCTAATTGATATATTTAAATTTTTTGGCTTTTGTTTGCCAATTTAGATATGGTTTTTGAGTTTTTATAAAATAGTTTTAAATATTACGGGACGAATTGTATGACACGGGTTTGGTTAGGATTGATATTAATATAAATTTAAAATATCACTAATACATCGCTATAACACATATTAAATCCTCATTTTATTATTTAAAATTTAGCATACGGTATACCGCGGGTAAAATCAGTATAAGATGGGTTAAATCAGCATCTTATTCAAAATCATACAATTGAATCTATTGTTTTTATACTACGTCTATCTATAAAATTTCAATTTTTGTAATAAAATTTCGTCTCACGGTGTATTATACATTTAAATTAAACAAAACAATAGTATATATCTATAGAGTATCTTAAAACAAAATTTAATAAATTTTTCTAATAAAAATATAGACCCGCGGTGTACCGCGGGTTAATATCTAGTTTCGAATACATTAAAACAGTAATTTATTTTCTACACCGCCACATGAGAAAAAACAACTTCGAATGGCAAATCAAAGACGTGTTCTACACTAAAAGGGAAAAAACTAACAATAAATTAAACAAAATTTGGTAGTATAATATTACGTAGTAGTATTATTATTCTCAAAGACATAGTATTAATTAAAAGAAGTTGACATTGACCTAACAAAAATTCTTTAAACAAAGAAGAAAAATATGTTTGAGCAATAATGGAATGATTTTGTTGTCTGGAGAACAAGTTAAGCTGACGTGTCTAATTACCCAACAGGTCAGCTAACACACACATATAAACAAGTTATCCAATCATAGACGAAAAGCAAAAGGTTCCTTTTTTTGACTTTGTATCCATCCGTAGATCATCATCATCATCATCTTCTTCTTCCAGAGTTTTATCCTTATCAAATTCTCTCTCTGTAAGTTATCTATTGATTTCTCTGTTTCGATTTCTCTAGAATTACAAGGCAAATTTTCCCGTAAAGACGCAGAATTTGGATTTGGGTGTTCAAACAAATTTAGGGCTTTGTGTCTCAATTTGACTGTTTGTATAAATTATCAGAAGCAAAGATGAATAAAGGAAGCAGCTTTAAGATGGACAACGATTTCGGTGAGTCTTTTTTACTTTACTGATTTGATTTTGTGATCTTAGGTTGGAAACAGTATAAACACAGGTCTATCAGCGTTCGTATCTGTGTACATGTATGTCTGATTGTTCGAGATTGTTTTATGTGCAGAGAAGAGAAAGGCTGAGGCTGGAAGGATCAGGGAGAAATACCCTGATCGAATTCCTGTAAGTTCTTTTTTTTTTTTTTTTGGGGTTGATTTGATCTGATTTTGTTCTGTTCTTGTAAGGTTTTCTTATGGTTATAGATTTGTGTTCTGCGTGTGTTTCAATGTATGCTGTATTCAATTTCACGAACAAGAACATGAATCTTTGTAATTAGTTTCGTAGTTTAGTTAGTCTTTGTTTTGTTTTTTGACCTTTTTTGTTCTGTTCTGTTCTTGTAAAGTTTTCGTATGTTTTTGTACATGTGTTTGTGTGTATGCTGAATTCAATTGCACGAACAAGATCATGAATCTTCGTAATGAATATTCCTAGTTTAGGTTACAGAACATTAGCTTCGTTGTTTGAGAATCCAATACTGTGTTTTTTGTATTCAAGATTTAGATCATTTATCTTACATTGTGTTTGGTCGCAGGTGATTGTGGAAAAGGCTGAGAAAAGTGAAGTCCCAAATATAGACAAGAAGAAGTAAGTACCTTTTGATTGGTCATGTTAAACTTGTTATTTGTTCAATGTTTCAACACTTGTATGGAATTTTTGATTTGTTTTGGATTTTGATAAATGCAGGTACCTTGTTCCATCAGACCTAACAGTTGGTCAATTTGTGTATGTAATTCGGAAGAGAATCAAACTAAGTGCAGAGAAAGCTATCTTCATTTTCGTAGACAATGTTCTCCCTCCAACAGGAGAGCTAATGTCAAGCGTTTACGAGGATAAGAAAGACGAAGATGGTTTCCTTTACATCACTTACAGTGGCGAGAACACATTCGGTGCTTCTTCAATCTAATCTCTGACCTGAGAAACGGCCACGTATTAATGCTTCTTCCCAACTTTCAATTTGTGTGTATAGTTTGGTCTCAATCTTTATCATTTCTCAAATAATTGTGATTACTATCATCTTTCACTTGTAAAAAATGTACATAGACTAATCTTATAATATTATCTTCCTTGGTATTTATAAACGATACGTGTTCATTAGACTGGTATCGTTTGATGATGCCACATGAATCTTTTCTTGGATACCAAACGGACCTCTCTGATCTTATAAATTTGGATAAACTAGACCAAATCAAATCCAAACCAAATATTGGAAGAGTAATGATGAGATATAGACGTTTTGAATTTGTTTTTGGGATTATCTTGTCCAGTTGTATTTGGAAAAAACTTGATTGATTCTGATTCATAAGAAAAATCTAAAGGAATGGGGACTAATGCAATGTGAAATAATATCTTATCAACAATGTATAATGGATCTACACAACTATGAGCAAACTGATGCAGTGATGCATACCACCCAGAGAGACACTCTGGCTCAAAGTTTGTGGAGCCCTAACTCTCACAAACAAACAAAATCAAAACCTTGTCTTTTCCCTTTCTATGATAGAAAAAGAAAAAACAATTCCTAAAATTAGTCTAATCAATTTCATGGCCTCAAGTTGCAAACGCCAACTTGCTGGATAGTTTTGTTTCTTACTCAGTTTTTCTTCAGTCACTCACATGCTATTTTATCTCTCTGTTACTCTGTATATGTAATTAGTAATAACTTGTTCTATATAAACCACGTCCTATCTCTCCTTCACATTCACCCCAAAACATTACAAAAAGTTCCAATGGCTTCTAAGGCTCTTGCAGTTACTGCTCTTCTTATCACCCTTAATCTTCTTTTCTTCACCTTTGTTACCTCCACAAAATGTCCACCAACTACTCCTAAACCCCCAAAAGTCCCTAAATCCCCAAAGAAGGATCCTGCCGTTAAACCCACTTGTCCTACCGACACACTTAAGCTCGGTGTTTGCGCAGAATTATTGGGCCTAGTTAACCTTGTTGTTGGTTCTCCACCAAAGACTCCTTGTTGTACACTTCTTCAAGGTCTTGCTAATCTTGAAGCTGCGGTTTGTCTCTGCACCGCTCTTAAAGCCAATGTCTTGGGGATTAATCTCAATGTTCCTGTTGATCTGAGCTTGCTATTGAACTATTGTGGCAAGAAACTTCCTTATGGTTTCCAATGTGCTTGAAGATTTGAGACTTAAAAGGGAAAAATCTCTTTTTGCAATGTTTTAATTTGTTTGTTTCTACTGTTATCTATTGTTTTTGTGAGAAAATGCAAATTAATCTCCAACCTTTGTTTCTCTCATATTGAGTTTGATGTAATGCTTGAGCAGTTGAGCTTGTTAATGAAATTTTTTAATGTATGTTCTTAATATGTCTCCTCTTCTCCTCCATGAATTACGTACGATCATAAAGATTAATGACATACGCTATAGTCTATACTGTTCAAGCTCATACTTCAATGCCTCTATTTGGTTTAGAGGGTCTGCGTGGTCTCCCATTGGTTAATTATTATCCAACCCAACATAGGCCCATATGGCCCTATAAGTCCAGATCGACATGGACCACATTAGAAAGCGAAAGGCTAAAGCCGTCATTGTTGCATACAACACGTAAAAATTAGATGGTCCTGGTCCAGAAGTAGCGAAACACTGCGTTTTGTTGGATTCTTCTTTGGGAACTCGGAAATTGACAACTAAGCTCTTCTTGCTTACTCAATGTCATCGGGGAGTTTATAGTACAAAGATCGGAAAATGAACAACAGATCTACGGAGACTGAAGCAATCTCCGTTGGCAGATTTCGAGATCCGGTGCTTACGAGAGATTGCTTAGGATTCATTTTATCGTCATCGCATTATTGATTACCAGGCCCACCAAGTTGCTAGGGAAACACGTCAATAATATTAATGGGCCGATTTCTACTAGGCCTGATAACATATAGTCACTTGAGTCAAAGTGACTTGACCCATTTACATTGTTTGTTATTTTTTTTTTTTTGGCACAACATTGTTTGTTATTTATCTTCTTCTTTTTCTTGTTTTTTTCCTTTTTTTATTTAGTTTGTTTGTTATATGACTTATATCATTATCATGCTCATTATGATAAAGTCATTTTTGTTTGATTTGCTACTTATATTCATCACTCTATATTCCACCAAAAAAATGTCATCATTGGATTAGTTTTTTTTTTTTTTTTGATATATCAGTGGATTAGTTCTGATGAGTTCAAAGGTAATCCAAGGAAAAATTTAACCCTGATATATATGTCCTCTATTTCACAACAATTATCGATTTAACACATGTCTCAGTAATGATTTAATATACCGTTTACTGAATAATCATTATAAAACCGTTGGACCAATAAAATCAAACCATATATATGTAACCATCTCAAGAATCAGATTTTGGATGGAGAAATTTGAACAGACTCTCATCGTTTGACATGTTTCCGGGAAGCAAATGCTTGTGCATATTTCCTTGCAATGTAATTCCCCTATTGTTTTCTCTTCGGTAAATATTTGCCTGAACTCTCAGTTTGTAAATGAATCTTTTATCATTTTTATGATATATTCATTTCTGGAGGAAAAAAAAAAGCTTTGATCATCGTTGTATAGATCTATAACAGACTACTGATTATTTAATTTTAAATTTGGCGTTGAGCAAAATTAATAAAACATTTTGGTAAGTTAATTAATTATATAACTACAAATGAAAATTAACATAAGAAAGAGAAACCCCATTAATTAGCAAGATTTTTGATTACACAACAACAGAAAAAGACGCATGCATATATAAAAGTTCAAGAAAGATAAAGAAACCCAACTTTTGGATATCATAAACCCTAAGAAATTGGATTTCAATTCCTCAAATACTTAGTCGATTATATATATATATCTCTTTAATAAGGAGTCACACCAACGTTAGCAGCCGCAGGAGCGTAGAAACCTTCTTTCATCACCATGTTATCCTCTCCCTCCTATACAACCATGTTTAAGATATGATCAGCATCAATTGAAATGATAAATGTAGGTATAGTATACATAAAAGTATATACATTAAAGATGTAAGGGTATGTCGACAGATTAGGGTTTACCTGTTGGGGCATGTTGGTTTTCTTCACGGGTTGATTGTCTGGCACGAGCCCGAAGTGTATGTGGGGGAAGTGGGCCCACTGCATTACACATAAACAACATACGTACAAGACACATATCAACTTGTGTTATAACCCGACAAAATTCTTTACTCCTAATTTCAGCTATACCTACATATATGAGTTTATATATATATACAACTAATACAAGAGCAAGTATATATATATACGCATAGATAAAATCAAACCCTAGTTTCCGCCGGCAATCTAAACCAAGTTGTGATGTTAGTACTTAGTAGGATCACTGGCTTATTAGTAAATGAAATCAGAAATGCCCTAGCCATGGAGATAACTTCTAACTGGTTTTCAGCATTTTTTGAAATATTTATTGAACTAGATATATGTGTGTAAGTCTGGATTACCAAGGGGTTGGCCTCTTTTGGTTATTAAAATTTAATTTAACCAATGGATAACTAGTTAATATATATTTTTGGGATGTGAAAATTAAGGTTCTTACATTCTTGGCAGCAGCACTAAAGGCTTCTCTGTGGCTTATATCAGGATTACCAGCTTTGATACGTTGGATCTCCTCCCTAAAATAAAAACGTGACAGGAATTATATTAATGTTACACAGTTATGATTAGAATATGAATGATTGTTAAAAAAAAAAAAAAAAGACTCACTTGATAAATCGGTTATATGCGGATGGGACTCTCTGTCTTTTCTCTGGAGCTGGCAATGGCGAAATTCAACGGCAAAGACAAAGCGAAAAAACAAAAACTCAGACAGAAAGAGACAAACACTCATTAAAACTACTTTCATTGTCTTTTTTCTCTCTCACCCAAACACTTTCTCTCTCTAACCCATCATCACTTCATCATGTTTTTTTAAAGACAAGCCCATCTTCTAACATATTACATAGATTCTTTCTCTTTAGCTAGATTTCCGGGGGATCCATGAATCTATCTCCACTTTTCTTTTATCGTCACTATTTTAATGTTTACCAACACTAAAAGCCATCCAGGATATGTAGACAATCAACACATACTAAAGGTCATGGATTGATAATGAATTATTTAAATATACAAAATCTATCTCTCAAGTCCCCGTATAGTTTAACAATAAAAAATCTTCTTCTAAGTACAATTCAATGGTGTTAGGGTTGGAACGAGATCCAGTTAAATAAGAAAAGCTATGCATGTCTTTATTATAATGTCGATTCATCATCACAACCAAATTATAAATATGGTTAGCAAAAAAAGTTAAAATCCTAAGAAGTGAGAAGAATTAGTATCTTACGGCGGTTAACGGGTGGTGCTTTAGGAATCTCATGTTGTTGATGAAGATCCATGAAAGATGGTATGTCATTCATAGTAGGATGTTGATTCATCATCATCATATTCATGTTAGATGGTGCATCTCTCAGCTCCTCCTACAATAATATTTATATCCTTGAAGCTTGAGATTACTTCCAATAAGCTAAAATGAGACCCTATAAGATCATGTATTTGAATGTTTTAAGTACCAGAATATCCTGGGGGTTGAAGTAAGAGTGAGGACCGAGCTGGAGCTGGAGCTGGTTAGAGGCTGGGAGGACATATGATCTCATGTTCACCGAGAGGAGATTGGTACAGCAACCACATCGAACAGTTACGGTCTTGAACAAGCTTGTGTAAGGAACACTAACCTGTAAACACACACAACAAAGAGTGAATTAAAGAAAACCCCTAATTATATATAGATCAAGAAGATAAGAAAATGAAAGAGAAAAAGATAGAGAGAAAGTATTGAAGAGAGGTTATTATTTACCGCAAGAATGGTTTGGCAAAAGTTGCATTGGACATAGCAGAGATGCTCGGAAGGAGAGAAGTGGTCCGGTGAACAAACAGCTGAGGAAGGGGAGGACATAGACGACATAGACATCTTTTTTGTAAGAAGAGGAAAAAAATTGGAACCTGATCTTTTTTGGGAGAGTTTGGGGATTTGATTGATTGATGGGTATTTGACTGATCAGAGGATTCTTGATAAGGAGAAAATAAAAAACCCCACCATGATCTGATCTTCTTGATTGTTGGGTTGCTGTGTATTATATACCACAAAGGAAGATATAGAGAGAGAAGAGGTGAAAGGAGATATTAAATATAGTAGAGGGTAAAAAAACAACAAAGGCTCTAATTGTAGCCTCTAGGTCGTCTTCTAATAACTTTTTTTTCTTTTTCGTCTTCTAATAACGTTTTTGGTTAAAATAAATAAATCAAATTACATTATTTATTAGAGCTGAGTAATATTGTGTGTATGTATATAATGTTGTGTATTATAAACTTCTATTCTCCTTTCTTTTTCTTTTCTTTTTTTTGTATGCAGAAAATTCTCCAATGGGTTATAAAAAATTTAGGTTTTGAATAGTAATAACAGAATGGGCGGTACTGAACAAGCAAAATAAATGGAACAAGTTTGGATATTTGTGGAATAGATAAAACAAACCAAATACAAAAATATGACGGTGTATAATTAGCTAATTAAATGGTTTTGATTAACATACATTGTTTTTTTTTTTTCAAGTTTATTTATCGACAAATAAACATACATTGTTTTTTTTTTTTTCAAGTTCGAAAGCACACATGAAACACCATATAAGTTCTGTTCATTTCGAAACCACACACGAAACATGCATTGGTTTTGAAGTGCACGCAGTTCATTTTTCACAAACAAATTTTTCCATATGTTCTTAGATCGTTGCAACATAACAATTGAACTACACCATACCTCACTTTGTTTTTATTTATCAGTTACAGCTTTCGTAAAAAATTTGCATACTTTAATCAAAATGCAAAATCTTGATAAGTGGATCTAGATATTATATATTGTTAGACAATTTCTAGTTACACAAATGTTAAGCTACTTTGAACACAAAATTAATTGATAATAAATAAATAGGACTATTTTTTATACATATCACCTTTTTTTTTAGAAAAATATAAATATCACTTTAGATCTTTTGAACTTTAACAACAAACTCTTAATCAGGATGCGAGTTATTAATAAATCTTTGTTGTCAACATCCTATATAAGATTTCTTTTTTGATAATGCCTATATTAGAAATTCGGTTGACCATGCGGTCTCACCCTTACTAGAAAACGTAGACATTAATCATCTATTCCGTTGTACCTCTAAGATGACCTTGTGGTCACAAGGAGACAAGACTGATGACAAAACAGTTTAAGGATATTATCGCTTAAAGATGGACCTTTTTTCCATCTGATCTCGAACAATTATAAACCTAATTTTGCAATGAATTGAATTTTGGTGTATACAAATAAAAGTACATGTTAATAGATGAAAATTGGCATTTATGCTTCTATATAATTATAGAACAAGAAATTCTAACTAAAGTTTCAAATTTATAGCTAGTATACAAAACTTTTGACAAAAAAAATGAGATTCGATCAATATAGCCATGATCACTAAACTACAAACCACTTCATGATTTATTCACAACTTGAAATCTTAGGAGTAAGATGTAGTATGAACAAGGGAAGATTGAGGCATATTAGAAGATTCGCGAGCTTAGGCTTTGGGGTTGGGGTTGCACGTGATGACACATGTAATGTGTTTGTAAGTAAGTTAAGAAACGACGAAGTTTTAAAGCTTTGACAATAGAATTCGCAGTTCCCAATGGAGGAAGAGAGGAGAGAGAGAGAGGGCGGCAGAGGTGGGGGGAAGAAAGGGACGTGTGCATGGGAGTGATTAAGCGTCGCCTCATTCACCCGTTGTTGTCATTCCTTAATTACCACTGCCATTACTTTTTCTCGTTTCTCTATACAATTCCTTTTCTATTTTTTTATTAAATATAATTAATTTCAATTGAAACATACTTTGTTTGTATATATCATGTATGTATATGTAGAGATAAACATGATGCTCCATTTTTATTGATTGGTTATCATTAGCTTTTTAGTCAATTACATGATTGTTTTTCCCCCTCCATTTGAATATTTGGAATCATCCAAGTCTAGACTTTCTGTGAAAGCGAAAGTAAATTAATTCTATTTATGTAGTTAAAACTTCCGAGTAAACCGGCTGCTTGTCAATTAATATACTAGTATTAGTATTTCCGTTTAAGTTAATCGTTATTTTTTTGTTTTAAATATTTGGCATCTATCACATAATTATTTACGCACACTCTCAAGCTTGTATAGTGATTAACTAAGAACTAAACAAAGGAAACAACCAATATATTAATGTATTGTTTCTCAATGATAGTTTTAAAAGCGCCATGTATATGTACGTATTTATAGAAACACCATATTGGTGAAAGCCACGAGCAACACTCCACACGTAATTAATTTCTAACCTACATGTTTTTTTTAAAAGATATTCCATTCTCATTTCAAGTATAGATGTCTAAGAAAATATCTTTGCATCCACTTTCCAAATATGATATATGCTATGTATATCTATGTTTTGTCCAGCCAATTAAAAGTATTTCCTTGTATGTATATTACTATTTCTTACTAATCCGAAGAATCATAGAATTTGTAGATTATGTAATGCAAACTCAATCGTATTATCGTGTTATTGCAACTAGTATTTCCCCTTTCTTAAAAAACTAGTATTTCCTGCCTCCACATAACACTTAAGTGGTTAACTTAGTTAATATTGCGTATATCAGTAGCATTTTCATTTGGTTTGCAATCCATAACATCCGGTTACCGAAAATGCACATTACGTTGTAAATTCAGCATAACTTAAAATTACATACGAAGAATCAAGCTCCGAAATATTGCAACCAGCTACTATTTATTGCCTCACAATTAATAACATTTAAGTGGTTATATAAGTGTTTGACAAAAAAAGAAGAAGAAGTGGTTATATAGGTAAAAGGTCGACCAAAGATGCAAATATAATGGCGGAAGTTTTGATTATTAATTAAGGCGTGCATAATTTTTGGTTGTAATGAAGGAAAAGTTGAAAATGTTGGTCTGATCAGGCTTTACTAGAAACGTATATAATGTTAGGGTTAGCCCACACTTTTGTCGCAATTTGGGCGATGGGAATGCAGAGATAGTACACACATGTATTGGAATTTATATGTGTAATATGTGCATATACATGCATGCATGTGTGTACTGAGATCATAGGCGTGACATTGACATTTCCCTATTCTTTTCTCTTCTGATTGGTTTAGGAAAGCTTTTGCCATAAACCCCCAATCTATTTGTACATCTAATGAGAAAGTACTTACAATTTAATTGAAGCAATAATTCATACTCTCCACAATCTCATATATATGCATGATTATGAAATAATTCTTTTCGAAAAAGTAACTTATTAACTTGCCAATGATGTTTCAATCAATTAATTGATATCCATTAATTATAATGAACTTAATTCTTCAAATGGTGTGTGCATAATAGATTGTATGGGGAATTTCGCCTTTTCTAGAGTAATATATTACAATCTTTTACTTATTATATTACTTTTGTTTACATCCAAATTGTAAAAGGTTTAAACTGAAACCCACATATTTGAAAGTACTCCCTCTGTTCCTAAAGATTGATTTTTTAGAGATTTCACATATTTTAAGAAACAATTATTGTTTAATTATTTATTTTTATTTATCTTTTTTTAATAAACTATGAACCAATGGTAATCTGAAATAGTTAATCATTACGTCTTGAAATCTACGATTTATTAATATCAATTAATTAAAAATAATGAAAAAATCTAGAAAATTAATCTTTGTGGAACAAACCTAAAACACTAGAACATCAAACTTTTACAAACGGAGGGAGTAATTATTAGTGTCAATGGAAGTCAACCATCATTTGTCTTTAGAGATCAATTATAGACACTAATCAAGTTCACTACAAAAAAAGTAGACAAAGCCCATCACTATATAAGAAATAGCAACAGATATTGACAAATTTAAATATATATCATCTCACAAAGTTAATGTCGTTTTCCAAATATCAAATTTATCATCACCGACTAGAACCGTGTTACATGACACAGTACACTTCAATATCATACAGTTAATACTATTTCCGTTTCACTAGTTAAACTCATTATAGCTACTAATTAAAGACATTGAGAAATGACTACTTGTATTAGTTAAGTATACAGTACTTTGAACCGTTCTATAAGATAAGAAACTCTGTTGTAAACAAAAATAAAACAAAAATGTGCCTATGCTTGCTACTTGCCAGGGATGAGTTAGAAATGGGCTGTTGCGCAGAACAAAGAATAATGGCTTTTCAAAGTATCATATTTTTTATATATACACACATTCCTATATACATACATAGATGTGTGTGTGAATAAAGCATTTACTTATTCTGTGCTTGAAAAAGGTATCAGATATGAAGACTATAGGGTTTCTCCAGTTCTATTTTCTATCTTCTTTTTATACAAAAACTACGATTCTGAAAATCTCATTCAATTATTAAAAGTAAATGGGTTTTGTAAGATTCCGCTTTCTACATAATTCTTGTATAATTGGCCTGAGTAAATTATATATGGAGTAACAAATTCTCGGATATCAAGGAGAGCGACAGTGTGGGTAAAACAAAATTTACGAGTGGATTCAAACTCTGAAAGTGATTAAAAAAAGAGAACGATGTTCACATGTAGATGTATTTTTTATTTTGTCAACAATATAAATTTAATTACTTGAATATAAATATCCAGATGTTGATACTTCAACCATACTAATTAATACAAACAACTAAATCATATATCTGGTCACATATAAGAAATATTCTTATATCGTGTAATTAAACTAAAGTAGATGCGGAATAAGTGTAAATGTAACTAAAATCAACACTTAAGTTATTAGACAGAAAGAAAAAGCTACCTTCAAGAATTCATCTACAGATCCACATATAATTCTCAAGTCTCAACTAAGAAATATTTTTAGGCTCAAGCATTCGTGGTCTAGTGGCAGAAGCTTTGAGAAAGGATGAAACTCCCAAACCTGAGTTCGATTCTCCCTGTAAACAAAAACACATTTGTTTGGGAAGTCTGTCAGGTGGGCCTTGGTCCAATTGGTTTACCTGGTAGCCAGAAATGCAGGCGGCCTGACTACCCCCTGACACTTAGTCAGAAGGCATTTCAAACTCGGGATAGGCAGAGTGGTAGCCCGTAAGGGCCTAACCGTTAACACGGTGGACCAGTCCACTATGTAGCACTTCGGTGCATTTTTACCAAAACCGACCGGATAGCCGATATGGTTTATCAAAATAAAAAATATTTTTTTTTTTAGCCAATGTCCTCAGATGATCGTGATATCGTGACAAACTAACAACTATACTGAATACTAGAATACAAACTTCTTTCTGTATAAATTAAAATAAAGAAAGAGTTATTTAATTATTATATGATCAATGTTTTAAAAAATAAAATAAAAAGAAAGTTAATTTTGTGCTTGCACCTTTAATACATAGCCTATGTGTATGTATGGTTGTATGAATTGTATTTTAAATTGTAAACAGTAAATTTCACTGCAACAAGTAGAAAAGTTAAATAAAAGAAGAGTACGGAGTGGAGAGCTAGAGAGAGTAGGTAGGTCATAGGGTAGAGTCATGTAGGCTAATAGGTTAAGCATGTTTATGGACCGTCCAGGCTCCTCGGCTCCGACCCTATGGTCCGTCTCTTTGTCTTTATGTCGCAGGCTTCTCTTTGCCACGTGCATTCTTTTCTCTCCTCACATTTCCTTGTTAGGGCACAGCAACATGCCAAATTGGACATATTCAAGCCCTCTCTCTCCCTCCATATTTATTTTCTATTCTTGTTTCATTATATATTGTTATGTTATTAAATCTTTTGATGCTTAATTATTAATCACGTCCTACATTTCAGCGAAGCCTAATCAAAGACAAGAATGCAAAATATGACTAGATGAGTCCCGATTTCATCTCTGAAAAATAAACATCGAAGTACGACTGCACTTCCTTATTTGATATATGATACTCGAGGATTGCACCTCTTCTATCAATCACAATAAAAGCTCATTAGTTTATGTTTAATATCTATATATCTTCTTCTATTTTTTTTTATCATCAAAGTCTATATATCTTCAAATTTAATTATTTACTTGTATATTCTACCATTAAATACTTTAAATTTGACCATACTATTTCAACCACATTAATGTACATATAGACGACATTTAACGAGCTTTAATTTTTGGCATTTATGTATGTGTTTACATCTTTAATAGTTTGTGTTTAATTACATTAAAGACACAATTAATCTTTGACATAACATCATCTGCAAGTCGTAACTCAAACGTGATGTGATACAATCATACAAACGAAAAATATACCCCTAAGGGTTTTGAGTGGGCAGTAACAAACAGAAACAAAAAAATCAAACATAATAATGGTGTGCATTTAACAACCCAAGTCAATATTAACCATTACAAATCTCAGATAAAAATCTTGATACATTAATTAATACGAACAAAATTATGAGTCTTAAACAAACATAGAAGAAGAATAGTTCTATGAGTTTCATAAGTCCGATTGTTCCTAAGGGTTTGTATCACCGATCCGTGAGTTATCGAATATAGGTGATGGTTCAATGGTTGATTAGTGTACTATACTATAGTCTATAGATATCTCATATCAACTGTCTTTACAAAAATTATAATGATTATTTTTTTCACTTTTAACCAAAAAGAGAAACTGAGCCTCCTCTGATCCTTTCGAGTGTTTTATTGTCTGAAAATTCGTAAGAAACGGTCTCCCATTGGGAAGCGCAGAATCTAACAAGCTTTTATTTTAAAAAGAGCCTCTGATTCCTAGTCCTATGTCCAGCCAATGTAGAGCAAAAAGCCAAAAGGTAAAATATATTACAATCTCCTCCCTCCAAAAGCAATATTCAAACTATAATTAGTATTAGCTAACGAATCATACGTTGGAGTAACTCTTTGTTACTTTCCTCGTTTAGCCTATATCTCCGACGAGGGAGACTATATCCATCTATTCTTGGATTATCGATTTAATCCCAATTGTTTTTCATAGGTCCACATTTGACCATATTTTTTAGGGACGAAAACTTAGAAAAGTCAATCCGGCCTGGCTATTATGTGGGCTTTGGCCCACCACAATATCTCTAAACCGGTACGAACCACATTGATTAGCACTTCTTAAAACTATGTGTAGGACACAGAGTATAGACAGGGAAATAAATACAAAGGACTGGATCATCATTAGTGAAGTGTGTACCGACCGAAAATAAAGAGAGCGAGGCCTTTAGATATTATAATAACCTGAGTGGATGTAAATGTAAGCTGAAAGATCAATTTATGAGTTGGATTACTTTTTCGTACAAAGTATTGTGGTCGAGAGGACCAAACTAAGGGAGGGAGAGTAATAAAAATCTAACATAATAAAACAGAGCATAATGTGTGTATTGGACCACATTTTATGTTGGACCATTGTTGAAGAATTTAAGCGTGTGGTAAAATAAAGTACGTACCTGAATGATGTCACATGGATTGATCTTTGATGTTGTGAGATATATATGTTTCGAATTTTTACTTTACGCTGTTTTATGATTCAGGGTGTAATAATATTGTCCTACAAACATATAACCCAACACAAAAGCAAGAAAAAACTTGGAAAAAATCGATCTAGGGATGCCGAGGCAAACTCGTTTTATAGTTTAGGTGTATGAACATTCTGTTTATTTTGAGAGCCAGTAGATGATTAGAAACAACGTACAAGCAGCGATGACAGCGGAGAGGATAAGTGTGTCCCGAGAACGTTTCCTTTTAATTGAACCTATTAATTGAAAAAGCAAAAGTTGCTTAATGATAATAGAAGGTTAATGAGATTAGTTTAGAATATCACATAGAGGTTGAATAAAGATACCAAGTAAGCCACGAATCACTGGGAATTTGTCTCCAAGATTTTTTACTTTCCCTTGAACATCTGAAAACAGAGATCGTTGAGAGCCAAGAACTGCTCTTGTCGCTTGAGCTTGACCAATCACATCATCAATCTGCAGCCAAATTGTCCATAACATCATCATTAGAAAATTACCTTATAAAATGGGCTATTAACAGAATATATCACTCAGATTACAAATGCCATGATTGCAGAAAGTATCTTACATGGGATATACTTCCATGAATTGAAGCTCTCTCCCTTAATACTTGCACACCCGGTGACATACTACCAGAAGCCTGCAGAAGCAAAAACAGAACCAAGCTTTCAATCAAAATGTGAGCATAGAAGAATGTGTATCGCCAATCATAATAATACTCAGTTTCATACTAAAAGGCTATAGGAGACTCATTACCTTATATTCACTTATGTCATCTCTGACAGAACTCAAAAGCTCAGCATGTTCTCTCATCGAGTTTATATTTCCTTTTATTCTTCGAAACTCCTATAAATTTACATGAAATCACATCATTATAAGATACATAGGTCCGATAATATGTACACTTTCTTACTCCTTACTACTACAGAAACATAAGTAACGATAAACAAAAGCCACAATGGTGAAAAGTTTTTTTTGCTTTGCACCATAAAACGGGACAGCGATTACTCATCTTATATCTCTGAATCACGGATACATGACACCACAACAGTGGATAGTAGAACCAAAACAGTGTTTTTTTGCAAAAGGCATCTATTAACTTATCTATCTTCTGCATTATGCTACAGAGGTATTGTGCTGAAAGATTGTTGCATTAGTAGCATTGAGATCAAAATTGTCAAGTTCGAGATCCCCGATATATTACAAGTTAGCAATTACTCCAAAATTTCACTAAAACTATGAAAACAACAAATGAATTAGGTGAAGGGGATAATTATTGAAAACTATGAAAACAACAAATAGCTTAAAAAAGGAAAAAAGTCAAATATAGTGCAAGAAAACCTGGGTATATTCATGAAGTATATCCCTGTGCCTAGCAAGCTTTTGAGTAACCGATGTAGTGGGTGCAGCAGATGCAGCACATCTACTCATGGAATCATTAATGTCCAACAACTTCTCAAGCAACGATTGAATTTCCATCTCCATAGACTTCCATGATCTCCCCGATCCAACGGTTGGAGACCCAGCGTCAACATACCCTGACACCAAAACATATGTAAATCTGGTAAGGAAAGGCACCTCAACTTTTCATTTCAAGATTTTCTAATAATTCATGAGAAGAACAATATGTAATACAACAATGCAATTCTTAAAAACTGAATGCTAATGCAAAACAGTAAGCTTAAAACACAAAAACTCTTCTTACAAAGTCGATTACACATGGAAAAATCACAGAAAATCTGAGAGAAAGTACTATCAATTGCAGCATTACTTCACCTTAATTCTTACAAATTCGCTGGGAACATTATTCAAACACATTCAGATTTATTCATTCTACATCACAGAAATGAATTTAAGCATTGAGGAACCATAACAGAGACTGAGAGACAGTATCGATCAAAATTCAATCCAATGAAGAGATCACATCCAAAATTGATTCCTCGATCCGTATCACATTACGGACTACTAACTCCACATTCAAAACTGCAACATACCAAAGCAATGGAAAAGGAATAAAAAACACAGAGAGAGCATGATCAAGCGGAAAGGAAGAAGAACGAACCGCCTTGAGTAAACCTGGCGCCGAGCTTAGCGTAAGAAGAGAGCTTAACGTCTAGATCTCCTTCGATTTTACGAGCTTCCCGCCTAAGTTCTTCCCAACCAGATTCCTGCAGATCCAGACTCGATTCTGTCATTTTCCGATCTTCAACAATTCAGATCAGTAACCTCTCCGTTCTAAGATAACTCGCCAGCTCCGCCGTGAACCAATGCCGGAGCTCTCGGTACAACGACGATCTGATTCTAACTGAAATCGATGGAACCAATTTTAGCAGCAACGATGACGCGAGGATCGCTCTTCCCTCCTCCGCTTCTTGTTCGCTCGACTGGTTATGGGCCTTTCTAATCATGGACTTTTAAAAATGGGCTCATTAAGGCCCAGTTATGGTAAGCCTGAATTGGGCTCTCCATTAAGTTGACTTTTGAAGCTAAGTGACACGTTCGTGTAGGTACGAACTGTACGGAAACACGAAGCTGATGAGTTGGGACATTTTTTTTTTTTGATAAACCCTATCGGCTATTCGGTCGGCCCCAGTAGGAACGCACCGAGGTGCTACATAGTGGACCGGTCCACCGTGTTAACGGTTAGGCCCTTACGGGCTACCACTCAGCTTATCCCGAGTTTGGAATGCTTTCCGACTAAGTGCCAGGGTTAGTCAGGCCGCCTGCATTTCTGGCTACCAGGTAAACCAATTGGGCCAAGGCCCAAATGACAGACTTCCCAAACAAATGTGTTTTTGTTTCCAAGGAGAATCGAACTCAGGTTTAAAAATTTTATCCTTTCCCAAAGCTTCCTCTGCCACTAGACCACGAATGCTTGGGCGAGTTGGGACTTATAATGGAAAGATTCCATACGATCACGATCGAGAGAAGTGTTTGGAACAAACTTCTTTCAGATTCCTATTATCGAAAGGTCCAAATCAATTTGTTTTTTTGTGATTCAGAAATTGCGCTTAACTTTTTATGATCAAATCATAGTTTTTACTGTAGATTAGAGAACTCATAGCCAATTGTAACGTTTAACTGTGACTAATAATATAGTAGGAAAAATCATTTAGTATGGGTTTGTAGAAACAGTACGGGCAAACAGAAAAACATGATCACGAAAAACGAATATCTTCTCCAGCTGGGTCATATCCATTATGAACGTTTAAACGTCTTTTAGCTACAACAAATTATGATTAACAATGTATACAAAAAAACTGTCGGTTGAAACACACAAATTGATTTATGTTTAATTTTTTGTTTTGCTTGTATTAAGCTAGTGTGTAAGTACATTTTACACTGCATAATTTTGTTAGCTAATATGGTATCAGAGTGCATGCAATCACTCATCTCTCATGTGCTTTTTATTTTATTTTTTAAAGATCAATTTTGTTTTAGTTATATTTCATTTCTTTAAACTTCCAAGATTTTTTATTGGATACACTAGAAACACGATATTAATTTACATAATGAACTGTGATTGTGTAAAGTAAATCAAAATATAAAACTTCTCTTCTCGGCTTTGATTCGTGGGGAATTCACCATTTTAGCTCCAAAAAGCTGAGTGAATATCCTCCAATTACTCAAACTAGATCTATCTTTATTCGTCTTTTGCTTAAAGTGTTTTTGTCCTGATATTAATATATATATTAACCATCATCAACGTACGCAAGTAACGCAACTAGAGGACACACCGTACACATTTTGTTCTCGTATTATAATTGTATTATATGTAATTTAATTTTATCAAAATCACAGACAAAAACATCTGAAAACAAAATGTAGATGATCACTAGGGCACTAACCTGAAAAAACATTAGATGATCACTAACAAATAAATAAAACGAGATGGTGGGGATTTTGATCTCGTGTAAGTGTTACCGAATAAGTTCAAAACTTTGTCCCACTTGGCCAGCACACGTGTGGTGGCATAATTGTCTTCATCTTCAAAGTTCAAACATGCTTAAGTATGAAGTTCCGACAAAACATTTTCAGAATCAAAGATTCTTTATCCCTCTGTTTGATAGATTATTATGTTTTCAGATTCAAAATCAACATAAATAATATGTGCATAAAAATTTACACGCTAATTAAACAACCATAAATACTTTGATACTGCTATTTTTTTCGTTTTGTGATCCATAACCCATCAAAACGTTCATAGATAAACGATAAACGTAGGCTAACGGTTAATGGGACGTGTCATATTTAATTTAGATTCTTCTGGTTTGGACTATTTGCCAAGCAAAAGAAAAATATGGCAGTTTTAATCTAATCCAACGGTCACAAAGCTTAATCTTCATCTAACCGTTCATTTATTTAGACTCCATATAAACTCCTTTAAAGACCTCTGTCTTTCACTCATTCTTCTCTTGATCTCTTCTTCTTTAACGTTTATATACATCGAAAGCATTTCTTTCTTTTCCGTTCACATCATTCTCGAATTTGTGTTTTCCCTAGAAATTGTTTTATTTTTCTTATAGATCAGGAAACCAAGAAAATGTAAAAAAAGATTGATTGATTTATTTATTCTCGTTCAAATGAATCACTTTTTATTTGACTCGTTAGTCCATGTCTCGTCTCACTCTCTTAACCTCTATTTTCTCTCAGATCTCTCAAAAAGTGTAGTTTTGTGACAAAACTGTTTTTTTAAGTTAGCTACAAGAAGATGAGGAAGATCATAGGGTTTAGAATCGGGAGACGAGTCTCAAGATGGATCCTTCGGAAAACCCGGATCCGACGTTCCGGATACAACCGAATACACTCGACCCGACAAGCTTGCATGCTGAGACCATTCTCCAAGCTCAAAAGTTGGGGCCAACGTCTTAAGCAAAGTTTCAGACGTTTCAGGTCTACGAGAAGATCCGGATACATACCCGTTGATCATAAGAAACCCGACCCGGTTCCAAGGGGACACTTAGCGATCTACGTGGGTCAAAAAGACGGTGACTGTCATAGAGTTTTGGTACCCATCGTTTACTTTAACCATCCTTTGTTCGGTGAGCTGCTTCGAGAAGCCGAAAAAGAGTACGGATTTTGCCACGAAGGAGGTATCACTATTCCTTGTTTGTATTCGGACTTCGAACGGGTCAAAACCCGGATCGCATCCGGGTCAAGTTCTCGGATATTTCCATGGAGCCGTCACTGCCGCAATTGAAGACAATTACGGAAAACAGTTCTTAGGATTTTCAAGCTTTTCCTTAGTAGATATTGTTCCCTTTAATTTACCATTTTCTAATCTTGTTACTTTTTGTCACTTTACTCTTTTTCTTGTGATAGTCAATTATACAGTAAGGTGATAATGTAAATAATTATTGAAGAGGCTAATAGTGATTATCGATAATGATGTGATTAGCATGGGGACACTTAGTGGTATACTGTCTTTGGACATTGATATAAAGATCAAATGGAATTGATGAAACACCAAAGGAAAAGTGTAACACGATTCTATTCTCTCTATGGGTCTACTCAAGATTTTTAGCTATCAATCGCAAGGATATGTTTGTTGCTTGCTTATGCCCACTAACTAATTATATATTTTGAATACTACTACTTATACCAAAAGAAATATATTTCGAATACTATTTAAGTATGGCTAGGTTAGACGACAAAATATTTTGGCTTTTGTGGTTGCCTTGTCTGATTTGGATACGAAACACTTTGACGTGAAAGATGTTCAAATCTAAAATGAGCGTCGCGATGCGATTGATATCCGAAAGAACAACTAATTTATCAATGTATTTTGACTTCTGGTTATATAATTTTGAAACTGTTCACACACTTACATACATAGTCAAAATTAAATATGAATTATTTAAATTTAGACTCTGACAATATTAATACAAACTACTAAAGTACTAACTAGATTACAGGTTTCAAGCAGCTTGCTGGTTAAAAATATTCGGTTGTTCAAGGTACACATAATGACTACATATATAAAGGTACGTATCTGAATACTCATGATCAAATGAATATGGAGAGAATATTAAATTGATATTTCATGTGAATTATATTGGCGATTCGTTCACAAGTAGAGTACAAGTTTTCATTATATAAAACTTTTACATCGTTTTTTTTTTATAAAGGCGTAAAAAAAAAAAAAATTCTGATTTAAGACATTAATTAACCAATCCATGTATAGCGTAAAAAAAAAATTACATCTAATATATAGCTCCAATCCATGTTTAAATTAACCAAAAAAAAAAAAAAACACCTGCATGTTTTGATATTTGTGGTCATGTTTAATTCTGATTTAAGACACTAATGTAAAATGTTTATAGTGATATACGGATCTCGTTTATATATTTATCTAAATGGTTTTACCACTTCCACAAAAAAATGATATTGGTCAGCTAAAAATTAAAGTACGAATTATTGGCCTGGCCGTAATATGTATTTGAAAGCCATCTATATCATATATACTATAAAATTAGCAGTTAGTTATTATGAAGAAAATAGATAGAAGATTTTGTTGCAACTGTGTCAATAAGTGTTTTCGTTCGATCTGTAGAGTAACGTACATAATTACTATTTTTCGATAAAGAAAGAGGCTGACGAGTGGCGAGTAACGCATTTTACCCAAAAAAGACTTGACTTAGTGAGAATCGCACTTACGCAGAACATGAATCGTAATCCCAGAGACTAACCAAACATGTTAACTAAAACTATCCGTACAATCAATGCAAGCATGTATGAACGGAAAACAATAAACGACGTGTGGGTTCGGGCACTGCTTGAGTAGTTGTAAATAGAAACTAAGTTATGGAAATAATACATGCCACGGTTCTTGGAATAACTTTCTCCACTTGACCTTGTAATATGCATATTATCTATTGGTGGGATCTTTCCTTTTCAGGTGTATTAGTCGTAGATCCGCAACTAGACAAATAATTTTCATAGGTTGATCTATAATTTGGCTTGAGTTATAGATTGGTCCAAGTTTAAGATTTAATTATTGAGTTGACATTAATTTGCTTGTGTGGTCGTAACCATTAGCAGTTTTGGTCCATACAAAAAGAATATACCAACTTGTTGCTGCATGAGGCTATTAGATGAATGTATCATATTAATATATACATGTGACCTGAACTTGTAACATAATGGCTTGTGCTACTGTCGTGACCACTGAAGTTAAATTAAAATAAATAAAAAATAAAAAGAAGTTCAAATTTACATATTTCATGTTGTCGAAAAAATATTCACACATATTACATATATAACAACTTCTTTCAAAGAACAATAAACTTATAAATTATGTTATATTCCCGATTAATTTATCTATATATTTTTCATAAATTACTCTTGCTTTGATGTTTTATCATAGTTTTCATAACTAGTAATATTGTTCCGAGTATATATGTAATTAAGAAACTTTATATTTGGGTATATTATTTATTAATCAAATGAACAATCCCTATTTATGATTCAATTTTGATTAACAAAGGATCGGAGATGTCAATTAGTATTTATACACTTTTATGAAATATCTTAGTTATTAGCATTACAACATTGGGCCATTGTTTGGGTTATGGAGAAGCTTAATGGGCCATAAGATCCATTATATTCGACATTCGGCTCAAGTCAACACAATGACTCGACTTGAATCATTTTTGATTTTTGTGTGTTAAAATTTGAAACGGTAATAGAATCATATGACAATTTATTTCAGATAAGACAGAATACAATATCTTTACAGAAAAAAATGAAATTGCATAAATGATAGTAATATGTATAATTATACAAGAGTTTCTATAATGTAACAAACAATATTTATTCTTTGTAATAGACGAATCAATTGCGTCGTATATACAACTTTGCATCATACCATATAATATCAGTCATATACTCATTAGAGACCAGAAGTGAACGGTACGGTAGATGGAATCCAAGAGCTACCGGCAAGGAAAGTACCAACAGTAAACTTGGAAGCCTCTGAAGCAGAACCAAGGACCCGAAACCCTGGCCATGTGACCCGACCCGAAGTTGAAGCACCCGGACCCGTATTTTGAAACTCAGCATAGAACAAAGTCTTCAAAGCGAAATTACCATTCCACTCGAGCCAGCCACGTGGATCAATCAAACTATCAAGAGAAGTCTTCATAAAAACTGTTCTAGAATATTGTCTCCAAGGTCGACCCAAATAAGTCTTGGTGGATCCCAAAACGGGTCGAAGATCCGAAGCGGCGGTGACCCGAGAGTTGTGGATAATAATACCCGTGTTTTGATTCGGGTCGGATCTTCCTTGAGCGGTGATTGTGTTGGTCTTACTACGTGGACGACGTGCGAAGATGTTGCAGTTCTGGAGAACCGCTGCTGCGTTTCCGAAGATAAAATCGACAGTTCCATAAACGTCGCAATCGCGGTAAAACTGACGGTTGGAGTGAACGTAGAGTGTGTCTTGGTAAGCTTCGAAACTGCATTGGTAAAAAACGGATAGATCCGACCCGGATCTTAGAGCTACTGCTTGTGCGTTGTTTGCACCCGCCGTGTTTCGAAACGTGATCCCACGAGCGATAAACCCGTCTCCGACCGCAGCTGCAATAATGTGAGAAAAACGATTAGTTATGAGTTATGACTTTAAACGTGATCGAAATTTTATCATAAAGTATGGCTCTAGACTCTAGTGTAGCACTTTGAATATGTTTTTTTTAATAATATATATATATAACTTACGGGAAAAAATAAACAGCTTAGGAATTTATCAAATTATTATATGTGTCATTTCACGCTATTTCACGCTTTATCAACCAGATACGATATTGTCATGTTAATGAATACTGATACTGTAAATTATTGAGTAATAGTGGAGGATTGCGTACACTTCAAAGTATTCCATGAAAAAAAAAAAAACTGCGTTGACTTATATGTTTTATGACTTCTCACTATCATAAAAGTGTACGGACTTTTTTTTTTTTTTTGCAAGAAAAATATTTTGACCTATAATTGTAGCGAATTCAAGACCAAATCTTAAAATCTTGAATCTATACAACCTATAAGACGCTGTGCGTGGTTCTTTTATATCCCTTTCAATTTTGCTATCTAGTTTGGTGTATTCATTCACGTAACATTTCGCAAACTAAACCCTATTATACTATATACTATATATCTTATCACTAAAATTAACAAAATTAATCATTTGTTGTTTTGTAACCATACGTACCGACAGTAGCTGAATTAAACGTTGTCGTTCCTCCTCCAACACTTTTGCTTCCGGTAATAATCGTCTTCCCTATACCATCACCTCTCAACATAACATTCTTTTTTCGAATCTCAAGATTCTCACTGTAGACGCCTTGCTTCACATATATCACGAACCTACCACTCCCCGAAGCAGCATTAATCGCATCTTTTATTGTCTTGAAATTACCAGACCCGTCTTTCGCCACCACTGCGTTATCTTTTGGCGTCGAGCTTTGCAAAAGTTTCCGGTCACCAGGTTTGACCCACGACGGGAACCCGTCTTTCTCGGGTGGGGTGTAGTTGAAAGGAACTTTGTTAATGGCGAGTGTGTTGCATAAAAGATTCGAGACGTTGTTTGACATCAAAGGAAGGACGACATCGGTAACACCAAGCTCTAAGAACCCGGCTCGACACGTGTCAAGATTGGTTAGAGCTGTGCTTAGCCATGTTTGCGCGTCAGTTTTTGAGCACTTCACGTTGGGGTCCATTGTCTCGTTGATTTTAGAGACGGTGAGGTCATAGAGCTTGATACAATCTTCCCACGCTGCTTTTTCACGTGTGTCACGACACTTTGGTCCTAGTGTGAACGCGTGGGTTTTGGCGAGGACGGCTCGGTCTAATGCGAGTTTCATTGAGATTTCGAGGAACTCGGATTCAGACTTTATGGGTTTATTGTTTGAGTTATGGGTTAGGAAATACTCGCAAGGTTTAGGGTTTGGAGTTTGGCTGCACCACGCTTTCACGTCTTTCTGGTTGTACCCGGAAACGGTCGATGCCACGAGGATGCATAAGAACACAAAGGTAATAATATAAGCTCGAAAAGCCATCATAAGACCAAATGTTTTGAGAAACGAGAAGTTTGTGTTTGAAGGTATTGTTTGATGAGATTTGTGTCTTGAATCGATGTGTTTATATAGATGTGGGGACTTATGCTTTTTTATTTAAATTAATAATTAAATATATTAATATGTAATTTCATTATAGTTGAAGCAAAAAAATAAAAGTATAAAAGACTATACCAAGTTACCAACCAATGGATTGGTATAACGATCATGCCGTCATATATTCTCAATGTTGAATTTTAATTTTCTTGTTTGGGCAATCATTTTTGACGTAATACGCTTTGATTTGACTACGACAAATTAAAGTGATATTGAATAATAATCAGAAAAAATAGTCTACAATCGAATGTTTTACAAAATATTGGACACAGATTATTAGTGATAGCATGAAAATAATAGGTTTACGAAAAAGCAGAAATCCTAATTAGTTACTAGATATATTTGTTTCTCAAGATATATTATATATATAGTTCTTAATGTCAATAGCATT